GGGTCTCTCCTGCTTGGGCTGGTGGGTTGGTCTAGATGCCCTCCGAGATCCACCCTAAGGAGGAGGCCCTTTCTGACAAAGAGGGCAGTCCGGGTCTCTTTCTGGAAAGGGAGCTTCATCCCTTGAGGCTGGACTGTCAGGAATGGTGCGGGGGTCTCTCCTGCTTGGGCTGGTGGGTTGGTCTAGATGCCCTCCGAGGTCCACCCTAAGGAGGAGGCCCTTTCTGACAAAGAGGGCAGTCCGGGTCTCTTTCTGGAAAGGGAGCTTCATCCCTTGAGGCTGGACTGTCAGGAACGGTGCAGGGTCTCTCCTGCTTGGGCTGGTGGGTTGGTCTACATGACCTCCGGGGTCCCTTCCAACTCTTGGTATTCTATATTCAGTGGAGGAGAAGTTGCCGTCCGAAGTTGTGGGAGCGCCATCCCTGGAGGCTTTCCAGAAGAGACTTGGACTGCCCTCGGGTCAAAAATGGTGCAGGATCTCTCTTGGGCAGGAGGGGTGGGGGGGTTGGACTAGATGACCTATAAGGTCCCTTCCAACTCTGATTATGTTCCCAAGAGGGCGACTTCTGTTCCACTTGGGAACTGGCTGCCCCTCCCCATCAGGAAAGGGTCCAAGGGGGCTGGAAGGAGGGACCTGCGGGTGGGTATCAGGTGGACCCTCCTGGTTGCCCCCTTTTGCCAATCCAACCCGCCCCCCCATGCCAGCTTCTCCCCTCCTTCCACCCCCCTCCCCAACATCTACAAACAAGCCCTGGGGGGCTCATTTGAACCCCAATCAGTCAGGCCAACCCAGCCATTTCGGGAACCAGGGCCTGGCAAGGGGTCCCACAGGTGTGGTCAAAGCCCCCACCGCCACCGGAATAGAATAGAATACAATAGAATCACCTTTATGGTCATTGCATTCCACGAATACAATGAAACTCCAAACACCCCATCTCACCAAAACATTACAGCTTTAAAAATTAAAGTAATTATAATAATAGGACTAAAATCACAAATGCACTGTTCGATTCAAGACAAAACCGAAGGATATGGCGGCGGCGGCTTTTCCCTCTGGTTCGGTATGTGTTTGGCGATATATGTGTCTGATTGTTATTATTTTAATTATTTTCATTTTTAAATACTCGTAGCGTGATGGCGATGGGGTGTTTGGGGCGCTGTGCTGGAGTGGCTTTCAAATTTCCTTGTATTTGTGGAATGCAAGGACAATAAAGGTAAAATTCAACAATTCAAATTACTGCCTCGGAAAAGAAACTTTTCTCAGCCGATTAGTCCTCATTTTAAGACACCTATAATGACAGGGCAAAGAGCCGCTTAGCCCGCAGGAACCAGAGAACAATTCCTGTCACACACCCCCCTATCCAATTGGACTTCAGCAACCCTCATCCCCATCCAGGCCACCTGCATCAGAGCCAGGCAGTTTATTTTATGGCCCCGGGCGAAGGTGACATTCGAGCTCTTTCTTGCGTCTAGTGTCCACGGGAGGCTGTCGGACATTAGAAATCGATGTAAAGTGGAATAGATAATATGTGATGTGATGTGAAACTGGATTAAGGGAGATGAAAGGGTCATTAGGGGAATTATGGAGGTAGGTTAAAATCTGGAATCAGGTGGTTTAAAGAATAAAAATAAATTTAAAAAATTTGGTTTTTTTTTTTTTAAAAAAACCAATAAAATTGTTTAAAAAATAGGGGGGAGGAATTAGAAATCAATGTAAATAAACCACACACACACACACACACACACACACACACACCAGGCAACCGTGTTGGATTCCGCTCGAAAGGGACGAGATCTCAACCATGACGATGAGAAAAACCGACGAAATCGGGGATCTACCTATGAAAAGAACTAGAAGAATACGGGGCGGTAGCAGGATTAAAAAAACGAATAAGAGACAAAACGAAAATAATAAGCAACCGTTTGACAAAAAGTCAGACAGAAGAATTGGAAGAGAAACTGGGACGACAAAAGCGTTCAAAAGTGGAAATATCTAGGAATTTGGCTCACAGGAAGATAGATGCTCTTGCGTAAAAGAGGACAATGACGTGCAATATATATTTTTTTTTACAGAGAAAGATTTGATCGAATGGGAGAAATGAACAATTCGCACGATTGGGCCGGATTGCGGCTATAAAAGGGGCGGTTTTTTCTTCAATCTCTGTTGTGCGTATAAGTGTGTGTGTCTTTGTGTGTGTGTGCGCCCAAATCCCTTCACAACCCTCTTGGTTCGGCCCTCCACCACAGCCCCAGCTTCCCGTGTGGCCCCTGGGGAAAATGAATGGTCCACAACCGCCCAGGCCTCCTCTCTCCGCTCTGGATGGGAGGCCACCCGGAAGCCCCAGGCCGCTGCCCCTCTGCCCCATCCCCAAGGAGGAGAGAACGGGGAGACAGCTGGGAGTAGAAAGTTTTTATTAGCACAAAAGTGTTTGTAGTTTTTTACTTCTTCTTGGAGACGCCCACGGTTCTGCCGCGGCGGCCGGTGGTCTTGGTGTGCTGGCCCCGGACACGGAGGCTGGGGAAAGGAAGGGAGCAACGAAGACATCAGGGAGGGGAGGGGAACCCCCCGAGGCCATCCACTCTACCTTCTCCCACTCACTCCAGGAGCCTAGAGTGCGCCCCTCTCCCCGGCCGGCCTCCCTCCCTCCCTCCGACTTCTCTACTCACCCCCAGAAGTGACGCAGGCCCCGGTGGGCCCGGATCTTCTTCAGGCGCTCCAAATCCTCGCGTAGCTTGTTGTCCAGCCCGTTGGCCAAGACCTGTCGGCAGGAAAATGGACCTCAGCCCAGGCTCTGCTGCCCACTAAGTCCCCCCACCCCCAAACGTCACCCCCTAAGCCAGAGGTGGGCAAACTTTCTGGCTCGGGGGCCACGTTGACTTTCAAAATTTGACAGACGGGCCGGGTCAGCGTAAGATTTTGGAGGGAATTGCCCCCCCTTCTTCTCCTCCTCCCCCTTCCCACGGAGGACCCCAGAGTCAGGAGTTGCTATCGCCCGGCGCGGCTCCAGTCCCGCGTTGCCTCAGGAAGGGAAAGGCAAAAAAGGGAGAGCCGCGGCGGTGCTTAGCAGCGGCACCGAAGGCTCAGCGGCTCCTGGTTTCGCCTTTCCCTTCCCGAGGCAACGCGGGACTGGAGCCGCGCGGTAGCAACTCCTGACAGCCCCCGCCGGACCCCTGAGCGGAGCCCGGGCGGAGGGAAAGGAGTGGGCGTTCCCTGGGCGGCGACCTCGGCCCTGCCACCAGGGAAGCGGCTGCCCAAGCTCTGTGTTGTGTGTGTGATTTTATGGCGCGGGGTCTCTTTTGGCCGGCCCCATTTTTTTTTTTCAGAGGCGGGCCGTATTAAAATGACCCACGGGCCAGATGTGGCCCGCGGGCTGTAGTTTGCCCCCCCCCGCCCTAGGCCCCCTGGCTGCCAGTTCCCCCCCCCCCCCCCCCAAAAAACAAGGAAAGCATCCAACCAACCCACCCCCCCGGCGGGGACTCACCTGGCTGTACTTGCCGTCTTTGACATCTTTCTGCCTGTTGAGGAACCAGTCGGGGATCTTGTACTGTCGGGGGTTCTGCATGATGGTGATAACCCGCTCGACCTGGGGAGACCGAGAGGTCAAGTGGGGTCAGGTGGGGGGTCCCGACTGGGCAGGGTATGAGGCCAGTGGATGGTCCGGCCTGGGATGTATCTCCCACCAGATCAAGGCTCTCCAACCGTGGGCCACTTTATGACTTGTTTTTTTCTGGAAATAGCAGAAGTGATGAAACAGGCCTAGTTTTCGGCCTGCAGAAGCCGCCTGGGAGTTGGAAGTCCACAAGTCGTCAAGTGGCCAAGGTCGGAAAGCCCTGCGCCGGATGGATGCCATTTGGGTTCACTGACAACACCCCCCCAACACATCTCTCCCCGCCCCCCCAGCTGCCAACGAGCCTCTGCTCCCCCACTGGACACCCCCCTGGTGCCTGCTGGATAACCAGCCCAGTAGCTGCCCAGAAGAAAGGCCCGGGCTGGAACGATTCCCGCCTCGGTTCCCGGGGAAGAGACCAGGCCCTACTTTGTGGGCTCCAGGCCCTCACCCCTCGGGGGGGGGCAGGGATTGCCAAGGAGGGGATGGGGGTAAAATCAGAGGAGGAGGACCTAAAAGGTCCTCCAATCCCCTGCACCGTTCAGGATAGAGCGTTATTCCACCTCCGGGGAGGGGGTGGAATCACGGTTCTAGGTTTCCCTGCTTGGGCCAATCCAGGGTTTTCCCAAGGACTCCCCACCCCCACTCCCAAAATCCAGACCCGCCCAGCTCTCCTCACCTCATCCTCCGTCAGCTCCCCGGCCCGCTTGGTCAGGTCGATGTCGGCTTTCCGCAACACCACGTGAGCGTAGCGCCTGCCCAC